AAGCGATCAAAAAAGATTGTAATATTAGTTTTGTCATGAAAGATGAACAAATTACTATTATTAATTTGTTACTTGACAACAACAACGTTTTTGTCCACAACCAACACAACCCGCCCACCCCTCCACGTGCGGAAATACATAGTTCCCACTGACTGGCTGGAGTAAGTTGGCGGCCTAATTGGCGGTACCCAGCGGCAACTGTATGCGGGCCACAGTTACTAGAGCTACCTTGATCCCACGCCTGATTTAATGGCGCACGATCGATAATTTTCGAATTATCCCAATCGATGGTGTGATTGGCGGTCGCTTCGTGGTCCGTGATCGTGGATTTGGTTATTTCGGTAGCCGACTGTTTTCGTTGGGCCCTTGTGAAAGATTTAGGAGCTACGGTGTCTACGTCCTTTTTATGGCGGGTTTCCAATTTGCGGCCGGTTTCTCCAATATAACCTTTTTCCCACATTGCACATGGTATCTTGTAGACACAGTCTGTGATGTTGTGTATATCTGTTCTGTCCTTCGGGTGTACTAAATGCTGTTTTAAGGTCTCCAGCAGTTGATGCCACGCCTGCATTTTTGAGGTGACGTTGAACTAAGTCCGTGATGCCTCTGACATATGGTAGGACACTCATCACCTTTGGTTTCTCAGTGGAGGTTTTCTTATAGGATGGTGACCTGACCCGTGAAGAGTTCATCTTTTTGGACACTTTGTCGAGTGCCCAATTTGGGTAGCCACATTTAGTTAACGCGTCCTTGATGTGGCGCGCTTCAGCTTCCCGGTCCTCACTCTCCATTATGATCTTATCCCTACGATCAAATAGCAGTCATGTGGACCAAGCTGTTGACCACTACACCATCTGGTGGTCAAATCTGATAATTTCAGTCAGCTTTGAGAAAACCTCTTGATAGGAGGTGAAACGTCAGCAGTACGTTTTGATCAACATGGTTGAGTAAAAATTAACCAAGATAGCGCTATTATCTACCAACCGAATGAACTTATTTAATGAGTCTAAAAATATTCTACACAAATTTGTCTAAGACTTGCCTAGGTTTCTTTAGTAGTACTACTATTAGTACTTCACTTTACTTGCCTAGTAGACTGAATAACTTTGCCTTAGATAACTCTTTTTTTGCAATTATATTTTTATTTTGTTTAATTTGGATCATTTTGTCTATTATTTCTTCTTCTATGTGTTATTCTGGTAATGAGAGGGTAAAGCAACGTTATCTGGTACAGAAATATTCAGTCTACTTGCTAGGGGTGTAACGATATACCGGTATATCGGTATATTGCAATATATTTTGAAAACTCGATATATCGCGATACAACTTCCGGATATCGATATTTTACGATACGGTGGTATAACAAGAAATAAATTACTTGACACTTGCCTTTATGTCTATATTGTTAATGGGCTCGAAAATTATGCACTGGCGGTGTATATATATTACGAAAGCACAATGCGTGCACGGCGCATAATTGGCTAATACTGGATACTGAAACCTAAACTGAAACTGAAACTGAAACT